GCGAGAGGTTTGGAGTTCGACTCCCACCACGTCCCTGGAAGTACCGCGCTCAACTTAATTTCTTCGCGCAGCAGCCTTGCTTGTCAAGGTTCGTGTTTCGGAGTTAAAGAGTTGAGAGAGGGTTGTATCACCATTTACAACAAACGAAAAAAAAAAAAAATGAGTAGCCTCCTCGACTGTAGTGGCCCCCTCGGGCCTTGGGGAGGTGAATAATTAAAAAAAAAAAAAAAAAAAAGTCGAGCAGAGAAGGTAAATGATTCGGGTTGCCTGAAAAGCGAGTTGGAAAGTTGACTTTTTGAGTTAAGGATTGAGAAAGACAAAAGTTGTGGGCTTTAATGCCTCCAGAGTCACTGAAACTAGAGCCAAGCCATTCAGTGTGATGAACATTGAAGTCACTGACAACAACAATATTGGCTGATGGATAAAGAGAGAGGGCTCGGTTATTATGATCGGAAATAACATCAAGAAGAGTGTAGTCTTGAGATGAAGGAGAACAAAATATAACAAAGAGAAAGACAATCAAGTGAAGTGATGCTAAACGAAAACATATAAAGTCTTCACGAATTAAAGGAAGATAACCATCAACACTAAGATTAAAAGATGAGACAGCTGAACTCAAATTAGTCTCACAAAGAGCAAATAGGTCTGGTGAACTTTGCAAGAGATAATACTCAAGAGAAAAAAAGTTACTACGAAGACCACGAATATTAGTGAATGATAGGGTTACAGAACTTGGTGATGATAATGGTTTTTTGTGTTTTATGGTTTTTGGTACTTTATTCATTTTTAAATTTGTTAAAGAACTTGACTCAAAGCACAGATTGTAATCAGTACACTATTTAATAGTCCAAGCAATTGCCTCATTACTAATAATAAACTCTAAGCCGTAACAAAGGGCTCCAAAAGTGGCTTTGAAAATGCACACCAAAAGTATAAAGTAGGTTTTATGGTTCTGAGCTGGCCTCAGAACCATAAAACTGAGTTTTAGAGCTCTACCCTCACTAGGAGATAATGGAATGAGTTGTCTAGCCATAAAAACAGAAACATAAGCAAAACCTATGCATTGAGTAAAAAAGATCCAGCACTCAACATCCTAAACTAGAAACAATGTATTAAAAATACATCTGCACCAGCCTAATAGATAAAGAAGGGGTGCGAGGCTGGTCAACAGATAGAATTTGTTTAATTTATGTCTGCCTAAAACGCCTTCTACAAGACAGTAGGCGGATGCATTTAACATCTTCCCAAGATAAATATTTTTATCGAGACACCATCTCTAGCCTTTACTCAACCAAGAGTCCCGAGGCAGGAGGTATTTTAGGTCAGAGTTAGCATCTCCTAGCCTTTGCCTAAAAAGATGTATCGTTCTATACATCTATATCAAAGTATATTATATTTAGTATATATATATACATATATATATACATATATATATATATATATATATATATATATATATATATATATATATATATATATATATATTCTTATAGAACATGCCTAACTACTTATTGACCTTGTATAGATGAGAAAGAACATCATTAGAAAAGGCAGCCCAATTATAAAAATAGTTCAATTTTATAAAAGATAGAGGTAGAGAATAGAATCAGGAGTAAGAAAATGACGAATATGATAAAGAAAAACAACCTTAGCAGATGGTAACTTAGCAATTGATTGTATATATGGTTTCCATGAGATGTCAGTAGTGAACAATAATTTGAAAAGACATAAAGAAGAGGATGTCAAATAATAATATTATATAAATTTAAAAATGTCAATTAATAATTTTATAAATGTCAATAATATTGCAATAGTTGTTTGCAATAACTAGTCTTATTAGTTATGCCTGGTTTTCTGCCTTCTTTAAACAAAATGTGGTTTTTCAGTCCATGGTTTTTCAGCCATGTAAAAATCTTGAAAATGCGGAAAATTTGAATATACTATTTAAATATTGTTTACTTTTTTTTTTTTTAAAAAAAAAAAAAAAAAGTAAACAAGAAAATAAAATACAACTCAAGAATTACAAAATTTTTGTTTAAATAATTTTTAGTTATTTAGAAATTTTCCAATAATTTGAAACTTATTAGGCCTCTTTTGCATCATAATGGTCAGAATCATTTGCCTGGTTGCCAAGTAATCAACTTGGCTTTTACAGATAATAAAATTAAAAAAATTTTAATTCCTTAAAGTAAACCCAATTCCTAATATATAATTCATAGCTATATCAAATAAAGAATTTTTTTAAAAAAAAATTAATTTCTTTAGTTGCTAATTGTAGATCTTAATTATAACAGTTTGAATTAAATTTTATAGCAGTTTTACTTGCATAATCGAAATTTTATCATTATGCATCTGGATACCAAGATTTATCATTGGAGGTAGGACCATATATGTTTTTTTTTTTTTTTTTTTTTTTAACATCTTCGCTTCCAACAAGGCTGCAAGCAACCACTAATTAGTGTTGGAAGTTACTGGAAAAGAAAAGATGAAGATTGTAGAGCAAGATAACGATTGGCATACGACTTAAAAGATTGCAAATTATATGAATCAGGAAAGCAAGATGAAGGAAGCGAATTCCAAAGAATTGATGTTCGAGGAAAAAAACTGGAGTTTTTGGAGCACTTGGGAACATTAACAGAAAAAGGATGAGACTTAATTGAATGACGAGTAACACGAGAATGAATTTTAGTAGATGGCACAAGAGACGCTACCTCTTTAGACCAGTGCCCATTATAGTATTTGTAGAAAAGAGAAAGAGAAGCAACATTACGACGATGTGACAGAGGTTGCAGGTTGGCTGCAAGAGCAAGTCCAACTATGTTTACAATGCGTTTTTGTACCTTGTCTAAAAGAGAAAGGGCATCATTAGAAGATCCGCCTCAGATATGGCAACAAAATTCCATACATTTGAGATTTATAGAGATAGAGAATAGAATCCAGAGTAAGAAAATGACGAGCTCGATAAAGAGTAACTTTAGCAGATGCTAATTTTGCAATAGATTTGATATAAGGTTTCCAAGAATAATCAGAAGTGAGAGTTAATCCTAGAAAATGAAGGGTAGATGACTCATTGAGTACATTACTGTTCATAAATAAAGGAAGGTCTAAAGTATTGCGATAATGATTGGCTGAAAAAAATTTTATCTGAAGTTTTATCTGAAATAAAGTTCACCAGCCACTGTAAGCCCCATGCTGTAGAATAAGTGAGATCCTTTTCAGACTCTGATAAGCACTTTTCAAGACAAATAGCCTTTTTACAATGGTTCCTAACAGTAATAAACAGACGTCTGTTTTCTGGAGAATTGCTTTGCTGATAGATATGGAAGTAATGGTTTCGATTGGTAATTGCAGCACAATGCAAGGAAAACCATGGTGAAGAGTGAGGCTTGACCTGGAATTGTCGAGAGGGAATAAAGGATTCCATGCCAGTCTGAATCCACGAAGTTATGTAAGAAGCTTATTTGTAAATAGGAAGACGAAAGATTTCTACCCAGGGGCCATCATGAAGAAAATCACAGAAAGAGTCCCAGTCAGCTTTAAGGTAGTAGTAAAATGTACAATGATAGGGGGATTCTAATGATAAAGAAGAATGAGATAATAGTTTTAGAGAGACCAAACCATGATTGGAAGTACCTAAGGGTGAGTGTGGAGAAACTGAGCACTGACTAGGATTAGAAACAAGACATAAGTCGAGAAGAGAAGGTAAATGATTCGGGTTATCTGAAAAGCGAGTTGGAAAGTTGACTATTTGAGTTAGAGATTGAGAAAGACAAAAGTTGTGGGCCTTAATGCCTGCAGTGTCACTGACACTTGAGCCAAGCCATTCAGTGTGATGAACATTGAAGTCACTGACAACAACAATATTGGCTGATGGATTAAGAGAGAGGGCTTGGTCAATATGATCAGAAATAACATCAACAAGAGTGCAGTCTTGAGATGAGGGAGAGCGATATAGAACAAACAGAAAAGTGATAGAGTGAAGTGGTGCTAAACGAAAGCACATAAAAGAGTAGTCTGTGGATTCAAACCTAGTTTCCTGACAAATGGATGAATTCTTACGAATGTAAATGCCCAGGCCAAGCATGTGACTATTGGAGTCTTAACGAATTAAAGGAAGATAACCATCAACACTAAGATCACAAGATGAGACAGCTGAACTCAAATTAGTCTCACAAAGAGCAAGTTGGGCATTGGTGTTAGACAAAAGGCTTTGTCTAACACCAATGCCCGCTATTCTCAGATCATAAAATCTCGTATTTCATCACAAAAGTTAGGCTCTCACGACTTCTGGAGAATCTTTAATAGTATCAATAAAAAGGGCAAGTCTGTAATTCCACCTCTTTTGTATGTTTCAGACTTTGTCATCTCACCTGAAGACAAAGCTGAATTTTTAGCTAAGAACTTTTCAACAATATCATCTTTTGACTCCACTAGTTGCGTTCTACCTGATATAGCCGTCAAACAGGTTGATCCATTGCTCGACATCCATATCACTCCAGCTTCTGTATCTAAAGTGATTTCCTGCTTAGACTCTTCTACAGCTTGTGGCCCGGACAACATACCTGTTATAGTCTTGCAGAAGTGTTCTCCGTAGCTGTTGTCTATCCTTTCAAAACTATTTAACAATGTACCTCCTATTTCGAAGTTGAAGGATTGAGAGAAGGTTGTAACAACAGTTAAAATTTAAAAAATAAAAAAAAAGTTTCCTTGCCTGTAGTGGCACTTCAATCAAGGCCTTGGAGAGGTGATTTCAATAACAATAAAATTGTTAATATTTGATATTGATATTATCAATAATAATATTGTAATACTTTAAGTTAAAAAAAAATTAACTTTTGTTCAAAATAAAGAACTGTGTTAAACAAATGTTAGTTAATCCATAAAATTATTAATACAACCATGCAGTTTTAATCCAATAAAAAATTTATACAATTTATTTATGAAATTATAATTTTACAGCTTATAATGCAGAGCCAAGTTTACATTTATATTAAAACTACCTATCTAAGGCACCCTCTAGTTGATCAGGTTTTACTTCAAAATAATAATTTGTATGTTGATCTGATGTGTAAGCATTTGAATAGCCACCATTTTGCGAAAGAAACTTTAAAAAAAAAGAATAAAGAAACATTTATATTTGTCAAAACCATCATTACATATTCTAAAATTAAATACTTACTTTTGAATATTCATTTTCAATTGGGTACTAAAGTAAAAAAAATATATATACATAAATATTTGTAATGAGCTTGTGCACAAAGACAACTATTATAAGAAATGTTAATAATAGTACGCTGCTAAACTAACAATTCAATTTTAAAAACAAAGTAAAAAACTAAGAAAATAAAAGGAAAAAGCAACAACTTTATGCGTCCCAAGAAACAACATGTGTTCACAAAAGTGTGCAATACCAGGAACATCATCAGGATCATTCTCAAAACCTAAATTAACATACAAAAATTAATTTCCATCATATGAAAGTGAAATATCAAGTGAAATGCTTTTTTTATATATATAGCAAATATGACATTCAATATTGAGACATTGCAAAGCATCATAGATCAATAAACTTGTTTTGATTCAACCAATCAAAAATCAGTATAAAAAAATGTAATCGCCGGTGGTAAGATCTTGCCATTGAATATTTTAGGTTTTAAACTACTTTAAAATGTAATAAAACAAAAAATGGAACACGATAAATACACATAATTTAATAGTGAACAACAAAAAATATTGTTGAAAATCTAAGGTTAATAACAATAAGCAATATAATTATCATTTTATAGCATTTTCTAGTTAAAGAAAAACTAATTTTCTGCAACCACAACAAAAATAATAAAAATGGTAAACAACAATAAAAGCTGCAATACACAACATAACATTTTATATTATAAAATATTTGTAGTAATAAATATACTAAAAATAAAAAATAATAGCAATAATTATTTTTGATGTAAATCAAAGTTTAATACTAATATATCTGTTCCTATTGAGTTCTAGAACTCTTCACCAAACGGTATACTGTATTTTTTTTAACTATGAAATTTTGAATGTAAATATTGTTCAGCTTTTCTCAACAATGACACTAAAAACATTATATTTGAAAAAATTTTAAAAGGTGTAAAAAATTTTAAAGTTGTAAAAAATTTAAAAAGGTGTAAATTCATCATGAAAAAAAATTTCAATTGCATTGAATGATTGTTTTTGTTTCTATAATAAAGTTAAATTTAAAAAGTTAAGGTTAATTGTTAATATAATTTTTTTTTGAGTTGAATATTTTTAAAATTCATTAACTTTTATGGAGTTATTTAAAAAGGTACATAAAACAAAAGCAATTTAGGGATAATTATAAAAAAAACATTATATAGCAACTGACATGCTTTAGATATGCTAAGGTCAAACAAACATTTTATACTACTTAAAGACAGACCCTAAAAACACATATAGAAATTAAGCTTAAATTGAAACATTTTTTAATAATTTTTTAATATTTTAATAATGAGATACTTAGTAATTTAAGTATTTTGGGCAAATGTTTGTCAATAGCTGACAACAGCTATTGACAAACATTTGCCCAAGACAAAGTTTGATAAAATAAATTTGGGGCTAAGTACTTTTTAAGTAAATATTTTAGTACATATAGTTGAACAAAAAATAAAAATAACAACTTATTTAAGATTTAATACTTGATCCCATAAAATCAGGGTTGGCAAAAACTTGGGTATTTCAACAAAATCCCAACCCAAATGAGTTTCTGGGTCTTTAATAAAGTTAAGTACAAATCTTTAGTAACAAAGTTTGATTAATTAATAGTTATTTATCAGCTATTTTTCATTTTTACAGGTTTAGTTGATGATTAGATTGCATTTCTTTTAAATATAAAACTAATCTATATGTATATAAATATTAAGTTTATATTATATATCGATGGGAGCACAAAGGGAATATGTCCAACATTAAACATTAGGTAAACATTAAACAAATTAGGTATTAAAGTATGTAAAAGAAATGAAAATAAAATAGTAAAAAACAAGACAGAATAAATTGAGAAATGCATTTGGTTAAAAATCATGACAATAAATAAATATCATGAATTATTGTATGTTTATATATGAACAATGGTTAGTGGACGTATTCCCTTTGTGCTCTTAACCATCGATATATATATATATATATATATATATATATATATATATATATATATATATATATATATATATATCTGTGTGTGTGTGTGTGTGTGTGTGTGTGTGTGTGTGTGTGTGTGTGTGTGTGTGTGTATGATTTTATGTTCTTCAACTTGCAAAAATATTATTTAGAGTGATAAAATAAGGCGAGTGAATGAAATAAGGCTAGTAATTGGAATTAAGTGACGTATCAAGTGAATAACTAAATAATACTAGTAAGTGTAATCAAGTGACCTTATTAAGTGGTTATTAAATGTAAGTATTCTAAAAAATAAAGAAAGTTAAGATCCATTTAGATAAATGCAAAAGAAAGAAAATAAAATTGCTAACGATTCTGCAAAAGTATTTAGCAATATATCAGTTAAGCTACAATGTAGAACTATGCATCTAAAATAAAAGATGCTAATTATTTCAAAACATCTTGATTCAATGCTTGTGCAAAAAGCACAACTTCAGCAACAAACTGGCCATGAATTATAGAAATGAAGAAGTTTAAGTTTTTAAAGTTAACTGCGAATTTTTCACAATTTTTAATGGCACTTGCACATTTGTCTATCTAGTTCTAGATTGATTAAAAGGCTTTTCATTCTTTGGCATTATTCGGAGAAAAACTAAGAGAGAAAAAGCTGAAATGCTTGTACGAATTTACAAGCATTTAAAATGTACAATTGCTTATCGCATTTGTTTAATAACTTTGTTTTTTAATTTTTATGTTTGAATATTACTGCTCCAATTTAAAAAAAAAATTCTAAATTATGAAACAAAAAACTTTTAACTTTTATCATTATTAGAAAAACTGTTGAGCAGTACTTAATTTCAAGTGGTAATGGAAATTAACATGTCCTACCAACATGAACATCGACTGATGCAGCTGCTTTCTCGGTTGCTTGGTCACTGACAAGTAATATTTGTAATTCGTTATTTAGAACTAGAAAGCAGTAATCTCTTGGGTCATTTTCAGACTTTTTAATGCCATATACTTTATGCTTGATATGAGGATGAAAATTAATTTCACTAAACTGATTTAAATTTTCATAATCATTCGAATCAAGATTTTGTTTAAGCAACATTACGTGTCAATTTTTTGAAAAATTTTAAAACTTTTGAATTGTTGTTTACCGCAACTCATAAACACAAACCGGGATAAACCACCTTGAGAATCAAATAGATCCCGGTACTTTCAGAGATGCACAGTGTGCATCTCTGAAAGTACCGGGAAAGGTACCAGAAATGCACAGCGTGCATCACTGTGCATTGCACAGTGGCCCAAAATTGAAATTGACTAGAAAACAGTAACAGTATTCAAAAAATTTGTCAGATTTTCTAATAATTACACAAATGAATTTTTTTTATACTACAAATCTAGTGGCACTATTTGCAGTGGCGTATAGCCAGTACTTGCGTAATGAATGGCCGGTGTATTTTAACACTATACCGGACCACTCGGGGCTACGCCGGACCGCACCGGTGTAAAAAAACTATTTTAGCAGAATAAATTATTGTCCGTGGTCATTGTTCCGACACCGAATCGGAAGTAAAATGGCTGTTCTTCCGACATACAATTTACATTTTACAAGGAGGTTTAGTATTATTAAACCTTCTTGGCGTGAGTAACTACTTTTTTCTTAGTTGTACGCGCGTATTTAAACATAAGTTATTATTAATTATTTTGACGCTTTTAAATAAATATTATTAATTATTTTGACGCAATTTAAATAAATATTAAAAATACTTTTCTTTTGCTTTAAAGAATACCTAGGTAGATCAATGATATATTATATAAACTAGATGTCTAACTTGCGGCATTTTATTGGACAAAAACAGAAGCCGCTTTTTTTTGTTTGTAACAATAGTCTGCCATTTGTAAAATTGGCAAAACGTGAAGCTTTTTTTGTTATTTATGTATTTTGGTGCTCCCAGAAGTCCTTACGGTCTTATCATAGAGCACCGCGGAAGAGCATTTAAGGTATAAGACCCCTCAAAATTCCTAAAAAGATTCAAAAAAAAAATAATTTGTGTATTTCTTACACGAAATTTATCGCTGAATTCGAATTTGAAAACTTTTTTTAAAAATAGGGCTTAGTTCTTGAGATATAAAAGGTTTCCTTCAACTGGGTAAATTTGATCTGCTTAGCAACACGCATAGCAACGGGTTTTTTATAAGAATTGCCAGCTATTTAGTTATTTTTGTGTTATTTAATAAACTTTTTCAATAATGGGTAAATCATGCAGAGTTAAACAAAGTACTCAAAGTAAAAAATCCAGAAGATTTCATGGAAATAGGTATACCAAAAATTTGACAAACAATTCAACTTTATCAGTAGCTCCTGTTAATAACAATGTTACCTGTTCTAAAAATGACCTTATTTTCAATAATAGTTCATTAGATTTATCTATATCCTCGAAAAAAGTTGAAAAAATTGAAACACCACATCAAAGTAATAATAAAACTGTTGGTTTTCGTATTATTGACATTAAAATTTTATCTGGTGTAATAAGTCAATTATGTTGCAAAAATTGTTTACAATCTGGATTATTTCTTGAAGAATGTTTTCCTAATAAAAAAGGTTTTAGCTCAATGTTGAATATATGCTGCCCTAATTGCAACAAAAAAAATTGAATTTTATACTCAAAGACATGCTCTGGGAAGAAGAATTTTGATGTAAATAATAGAATAATTTATTCTATTTGTGCATGTGGTCAAGGTTATTCAGGATTAGAAAAATTTACTTCTTTAATGAAAATTCCTACACCAATGACTAAGAACAAAATAATTAAACATGTCTCTGATTGTGCTAAAGTTGTTGCAAAAGAAACAATGTCTGACGCTGTTAAAGATATTTGTCAATCTTCTTCAAATATTGTTGATACTGCAGTATCAGTTGATGGTAGCTGGCAACGTCGTGGATTTTCCTCATTAAATGGAGTGGTTCCTGCAATATCAATAGACACAGGTAAAATTCTTGATTGTGAACCAATGAGTCGATCATGTAAAGCATGTAGTTTAAAACTAAAACTTAAAGAAAATAACCCAAATGTTTTTGAAGCTTGGAAATCATCACATGTATGTAAACTAAATTATTGTGGCTCTGCTCCTGGAATGGAAGTAACTGGCGCTCAAAGAATATTTAGCCGTTCTATTTCACAAAATAAACTGAGGTATGTAAAGTATTATGGTGACGGTGATTGTAAAAGCTATTCGTATGTTAAAGATACTTATCCTGGTATAACAGTGTGTAAGTTGGAGTGTGTTGACATGTACAGAAACGTGTTGGTAGCAGATTGCGAATTTTGAAAAAAAATGTAAAAGGACTTGGAGGCCAAGGCAAATTAACAAATGCTATAATTGATCGCCTACAAAACTACTATGGAATTGCTGTTAGGCAAAATGCCAATGATTTAGAGGGTATGAAAAAGGCCATACTTGCAACACTGTTTCATGTTGCATCATCAGCTGAAAATAATTGGCATGCTCATTGCCCAGATGGCATCAATAGTTGGTGTCGTTATAAACAGGATAAAGTTAATTTAACATCTACCTACAAGCCAGGTGCTGGTCTTCCACTCTCAGTTGTCAGTCATCTAAAGCCTATATATATAGATTTATCTCATGAAGAACTCTTAAAAAAATGCCTTTATGGTAAAACCCAAAACCAGAATGAAAGTTTTAATGGAATGATATGGCAGCGCATACCTAAAACAAAGTATTTTTCATTAACGCAGTTGGAGTTAGGAGTTTATGATGCTGTTTCAAATTTTAATATTGGAAGAAAAGCAAGCATACTTTTGTTTGAAAAGTTGAATATGATTCCTGGTATTTATACTCTCCAAGGCTGTTCAACCATGAACAAAAAGTGCTTAATTTTTGCAGAATATCAAAATCGGATTACATCTAAAAAGCGACGAAAAGTTATTTGTGGATGCAAAAAAAAAAAAAATGGATGATGCAGAGAATGATCAAGAAGGTTGTCTTTATGACCCTGGTTCATGTTCATATAAATAAAAGTTTTTCAATTGAGTATACGAGAGAAAATATTATGAAAATTTATGAATATAATATTCAAACGAGTTTTTCTCAAAATGTAAATTTTTGATCTCCCGGCCATCCTATCTCATTAACCGTAAGTTAAATTTGTATGAAATTTTCACCAAATGTTTATTGCATCTGGTTGTACAAATGGAACTAAAAGTTTTTTAATGCAATCAAGAGTTTTTGATTTATAGAAGTTTCAAGTTACAAAAAAATCATATTTTTAGTACGCCATTTTGAAAATTTCATTATAGGTCAAGTACTAAGTTTTTAAAATAATTTTAGTTCAGTTTGTATTTTATGTTATTAACCGTATGCCAAAAATTCATAACCTACATGCTTTCAGTTACTGAGATAGCTTGGCCGGACCTCTGGGTTCTGAGCCAGAACTCTAACCACTGCGCCACGGCTGCTTATGTGCAATTATGTGAAGCTTTAATGTCGAATAAAAGTTTAAAATGCAAGTCAAAAGTTGCCAATAAATTAAAGATAATTCAAAAACAAATTTTAATAATTAAATACTTTTAAAAGTTTTTTTATGAGCCTTTGTTTATGCGGGAAAGATGGCGGTCTAAATTCTGAGTTAAAGTTTGGTATACTTTTATTTTATCGAGTCGAAATTTATATTTATCAATATATTATTAAATCAATATATTATTAAATCAATCAAAAAGATAAATAAATTAAAAAAATAATTAGTATGAAAATAATTTATTCGTGGTTAATATTAATACAAAGTAACCCTACAGTAGCAAACAAAAAAAAAAACGAGCCATAATTATGGCTCGTTTTTTTTGTCTTTCCTTGTTAAATAAATATTTTTATTAAACGGAATAAGAAGAATAATAATGCTAATGATTTGGATCACTTTTCTGTTTTTTGCGTATTTTACGAAAAACCTGTCTTGGGCCAATCAAGATTTGATATTTTTTGTTGAAATTTTACATACTTATAAACGAATGTCTATTTTGTCAGATTTTTGGAGGGTATAGATAAAAAAATAGTTTAAGTTAGTTTTTTTAGCATTATTGTTTATAAAAAATGTTCAATTTTTGTTATACCCTCCAAATTATTGAAATTTATGCACATAAAAATCAAAAAAATTGCTATCTGTACTTCTAGCTAAAACGTCTTTAATCTTGGCAGGTTTAGCAAAAAATTTGTAGTTACATGCGTAAAATTTCTGTTTATATTTTAAAGTAATGACGTAACTTTAAATGCGTTACTTCCCAATTCACTGAGTAATTAAATTTATTAAAACTGCTTTTTTAGCGAGACAAATTTTAGTGTATAAATGAAGCAAACTTTGGCGGTATTTTCCATATGAAATGGAAATAAAACTTTTTTTTTTACAGAAAAGTATTAATATTGTAATATTGATCTAAGTGTCAGGAAATTGTTCTAAGACCGAAAGCAAAAATAATTCGAAACTCTTTTTGTTCTTAATCTTTAAAAAAAAAAAAAAAAAAAAGTATTTTGCAATTTTTTTTATTTTGCCTATTGCAGTGCCTGTATCAGTTCGCATTCGGTGTAAATAATAGGGTGGTGTTGCGTTAGTTCGCTAACGCAGTAAGCTTCTTTACTTTGTATATTTAGCTGAACGCGTAGCAAGTCTCGCTCTCTTACGTTTCCTTCTTCACCACGAGCACTTGGCGCGATCCAAGTTTGTAATTGTAAATAACGAGACGTATCTTCAAGAAATATATATTAAAGTAATCATATCTATGTGAATTAATGCTAGAGTTCCTTCCAAACTCTTTAGGTGGAGCGATTTTCATAGAAAAAAAAAGTTTAAAAATCAATAATCCTGAGACACGAATCAATGTCTATTAATTATAAGATGAAAGTGAAAAAATATTTTTTGATTTTGATGAGATCTTGAGGTTCCTCTTTGGATTCTAAATTCTTGACGGATCCTAATATTTTTGAATTTTTTTTTTTTTCTAAACCATATCAAGCTTGGACTCAAAAAAAGTAGAAAAAAATGCTTGTTTTATCAACAATAAACTTATTTAGAAAAATATTTAGGTGAAGAAAATATTTGCGAAAATTTGCCTTAAAACCCCCGTTTTGATGAAGACGGGGTTTTTTTTATAAAAATAAAACGACGTTATTTATTTTTCT